TCCATTTACATTTAGGGTGACTATTGAAAGATATGTACTTATTGCCATTGCATGCTTTAGATTCATGGTTACCAAAGGTTTAAGGTTAGCTTCTTTACTATTTTGCTGTCTAACTTAACTCGCTTATTGAGGTATTATAAACATTGTCTGATGTTTCTTTATTTCTCTCCATTCTTATTCCTCCTCCTCCATTCTTTATATGTTGGGTGTTTTATTCTGTGCTCTTTTGTGTTTCCTTTGACTACTTTTGTGAGTAGTTGATTTTATGTTTTTCCTTTAGTTAGTATTTGGTTGGTCTTCTTTCTTTGCTATGATTTTATTTTCTCTGTTGACAGGTATTTAGTCTTAGGGGTGCTCCCATTTAGAACAGTACCTCTTAAATACCCTGTAGAGGTGGTTTATGGGAGGCAAATTGCCTCAACTTTTGCTTGTCTGGGAATTGTTTAATCCCTCCATATTTAAATGATAATCATGCTGGATGCAGTATTCTTGGTTCAAGGCCCTTCTGTTTCACTGCATTAAATATATCATGCCATTCTCTCTGGCCTGTAAGGTTTCTGTTTAGAAGTCTGATGATGGCCTGATGGGTTTTCCTTTGTAGGTGACCTTTTTCCTCTCTCAGCTTCCTTTAAAACTCTGTCCTTGTCCTTGATCTTTGCCATTTTAATTATTACGTGTCTTGCTGTTGTCCTTCTTGGGTCCCTTCTGTTGGGAGTTCTGTCTACTTCCGTGGTCTGGTTGATTATTTCCTACCCCAGTTTGGGGACGTTTTCAGCAATTATTTCTTCAAAGACACTTTATATCCCTTTTTCTCTCTCTTCTTCTTCTGGTACCCCTATAGTGTGGATATTGTTCCTTTTGGATTGGTCACACAGTTCTCTTAATATTTTTTCATTCCTGGAGATCCTTTTATCTCTCTCTGCATCAGCTTCTATGTGTTCCTGTTCTCTGGTTCTATTCCATCAATGGCCTCTTGCATCTTATCCATTCAGCTTATAAATCCTTCCAGTGATTGTTTCACTTCTGTCATCTCCCTCCAGACGTCATCTCTTAGCTCTTGTATATTTCTCTGCAGCTCCATCAGCATGTTTATGATTTTTATTTTGAAATCTTTTACAGGAAGACTGGTTAGGTCTATCTCCTCAGGGGTTGACTCTTTGATCTTGGTCTGCCTCAAATTCTGCCTTTTCATGGTGATAGAGATAGTTTGTGGAGCTGGCACAAGTGACAGCTGGGAGAACTTCCCTTCTTTTCGCTTTGTGGCCTTCCTCTCCTGGGAGAACAGCGACCTCTAGTGGCTTGTGCTCTGCCCCTGTGCACAGACAGGGCTTCTGATTCTTGCCTGGCTGCTGTGGAGTTTAGCTCTGCATTTGCTGTGGCCGTGGCCTGCCTCAGGCCGCTGCTCCGATATGGCAGAGCTGCATAGGAGGGGAAGCAGCTGGGAGGCTGTTTATCTCCGTGAGGGTCCTCCAAGGTGTGCTGCTGCCCAAGGCGTTTAGGTTTCCTGAGTTCCCTGGGATTCCCAGCTGGTGGGCTACGTGTCCCAGGACGCTTCTGTCCAGCTGTGGGGTCCCTGTCCCTTTAAGACTCTCAAAAAGCACTCGGTTTTCTTTGTCCCCGGTGCGCTGGCTGCAGGGACCTGCTCATAGGCCTTACTGTCCTGTTTCCCTAGTTTTCAGCACCTACGCACTGTGTGTCTGTGCTCTGGTGTGGATGGCTAGGGCTGGGTGTTTAGCAGGCCTGCGCTCCCTTTCCCTCCCTGCTCCGACTCCTCTCCTCCTGCCGGGAGCTGGAGTTTGGGGTGCTCGGGTCCCGCTAGGCCACCGCTTGTATCTTACCCCCTTCGCGAGGCGCTGGGTTCTCAGGTGTGGATGTAGTCTGGCTGTTGTCCTGTGTCTTCTGGTCTCTCTTTTAGGAAGAGTTGTCTTTGTTGTATTTTTCAAAAATATATGTGGTTTTGGGAGGAGATTTCCGCTGCTCTGCTCACGCAGTCATTGTGGCTCTGCCCCCCCATGTGAGATTTTATCTGTGGAATGTTCCCTGTTTGCAGTGCATACAGGATGTAGGGAGAGGATAAGGTGAATCAGGGGTCATCATGGCAGATTTGTCAAGATGGCTTTACTCTTGCTCATAGACACTCTTCTTCAGATCAAATTGGTGATGAATAATTTTCTAAATAACTAATCTTCATGTAATCAAGGTCACAGTTGATTTAAAATGAAACCAAATCATTGATTGTGAAAGCTACTCTAATGGCTGAAAAATGCCTGGTTTTGCAGAACCTTCTCTTTGTCAGCCTCATTATCTTATAAGAAAAATAACAGGCTTTGCCAGTTACCAATTTAAGTTGTTTTTGAAGTGCTATTCTCAAATTATCATCTATTAACTTAGTCTCTTTCTTTTTTAAATAGTACTTATAAAGGCACTTGCAGTTTATTCTTATATGGTTGTTGTCTCTGATTAAACCTGTTGCCAATTAAATGTGTCATAAATATTTCACTGTTTAACTGCAGGTATATAAACATATATTCAGATCCTTGGACCTGTGCACATATACTGTGTCATGTGGACGTGGGCCTATTTATTTCTAACTTTAAAAAATATTATTGGGATTAGCTTTGATTTTGTCCTGCCCCTTACAGTTTGCTTACAGGGCCTTGGCAGGGAAGGAATTCACCTATAGAAGCCTTCATGTTTTGTCAACCTCCCCCACCAAACAGACATGCATGCATGCACACACCCACTTCCACCCTCACAAACATGTTAACATTTGTCAGTGGGGAATGGGAGAAGGAGTAGGAGTTTAAAGCTTAAAATGGTACAGCCAGGAATTGGAATGTAGGTGGGTTTTTCATTGAAAGCAAACCTTCTAATCCTGATCTGTCTCAGATTTATATTCTTGAAGGCTTTACCAGGACATGACATCTCCTTTGTCTTTTTCTATCATTCTATAATGGAGAGAGAAAAGTAGGGGAGACTCTGAACCAGTCATGGTCATGTGAACCACACATGACTTTGAACCATTATGACCAAATAAGAGAATGCAAGATAGAGGATTCTACCAGAATCCAGTACTAGCACTAGGAAGTCCCATACTTTCTTCTTTAAAAGGATGTGGTGGGAATCAAGAAGGGTAGCTTGTGCAGTAAGAGTGCAATGCCCTTGGGTCAGGAGACCTGCTTTCCAGGTCTGGTGCTGTAGTTTGGTGGATGTGTCACTTTAAGCAGCCCAAAGTGTATCTTTAGATGTCTCTCATATAAAATGGTCCACATAGCACCTTCACGATGGAGTTGTTGTGAGAATTGGATGGGTCAATGTATGTGAAAATACTTTGTTAACTATGAAGTAAATAGTTTAATATAACGTATAATAATACACACCTAAGTGGCATGTGATACCTTTTCAAGGTGTAGTAAAATTCCAGTTCATATCAGCAGACATGAATGGGGATGAGTGATGTAATTTATAATATATTATGAGTGTATTTTAGGTGACAGATGTGCATTCCTAATGTTTTGTTTTGGCTAGTGTCTTGAATGTGAATTTACTTAATATAGCCAAACTAACTACAGAGATGGTTACCCAAAAGAAAGCTGAGTGGCAAGGGAAAGCACATGTGGGATTAGAATTTGTTCCTGGATGTTTTACATGTATTTCACTGGTCTTACATCTCCATCTTGATGTACTCCTAGCCCTCCCTAGTTTAAGCCCTTGATGGGGCATTTTTAAGGCAGGTAGGCTCAGTTACTGATTTTTAAAAAAATCTAACTAATTTTTTCCAAAACATTGGTGTATAAATACATTAGTTAAAAAAAAAAAGACTGGGGACAATGACTGATTAAGGAAGCAAACATTATGTGTCCCTAATATGTACAAGTACCACCCTCATTTGGTGGCTCTTTGGACTGCAGGCCAGAGGACGGCTGTAGGCCTTTGGTCATACTTCATGTTGGCTGCTTTATCTAGGCTGACTTCTCTCTGTGTTCTTTCCCTGATGTTGCTCAGTGGGCATGTAGGGCTCTCCTGCCTTTTCACATTTTTAGATAGTGTTCCTGGCCCTATATTTTGTCTGTCTTCTTTGATAGTTCTGATAGTTCTGATTGTCCAATGAAAACAGGTTATGCCTTGAGGAGTAAGAACCATGGCTCAGTGTCCCAAGACCAGGGATTTTCCCTGTCAGGATATCCCACAGGCCTAATGACTTAGGAGAAGTAATCCGTGTGTGTGTGCGTGTGCCCACATGTGTATTTTTTAAGGTAACCAGTGAATGTGCATAAGCATTGAGAACATTGCAGTTTTGCCATCTTTTTCTGAATAACTGTTAGAACTTATATTGGTATAAGTATGCAAATTTATATACTTAAATACATATGTAAATTTATAAACTTGCCCATCTTCAATGGAACTACCTGTTTCTCATTTCTCCTCATTTATCTCTACTGTCCTTCTTTCCAGGATCCAAAAATTAATCCAGAAGCATATCAGGAGAAATCTCAGATGCCATGAGCAGATACTTAGGGCACTGTTTTCTGATACTGAATTAAGCAGAAAACTCCTTAGATAGCACTTCCATACTTTATTAGTTTCAAACTTATATCTGTAATAATCTCCTATAGTACCACCAGAACTAGAAATGACTAGCTGAATCATAGAGTAAAAGAGTTTGGGTTAAATCTATGAAAATGATTGGTCTGCTTACACACACACACACATACACATGCATGTGCACACACACACACAGAGGCATAATGTAATTTAATATAATCAGCCAGAGCAGTTTTGTCTGAAATTTACTAAGCCCTTGTTTGCTTGCTTAGTGATTGGTAGAAAAAAGGATATTTTAAAACCATGGTTTTATGGCTAAATAGTATTATACAGGAGTAACTTCAGTTATTACTTGATGTAATGGAAATAGTAAAGTTTCACTTTTTAGAGAATTATGTTTCTTATGTTCATTGTCAAAAATCACAATACGAATCCTGCTTTTTTGTTTTATTCAGAGACACTTTTTCAGAAATCTGGGGTCTATTCTGGCTTATGCTTTCTTAGGGACTGCTGTTTCCTGCTTCATTATTGGGTAAGTGACTCTTTGTCAAATAAGTCAATTAACACACTTGCCAAAGAGATGAGATCCACATTGTTCTAAAGAGTCCAGTATTTTTTCCCAGCTTTATTGAGATAAAATTGACACGTAACATTGTGTAAGTTTAAGGTGTACAAAGTGTTGATTTGATACATTTATAAATGGCAGAATGATTACCACCATAGCTTTCGGCCATCTTCATCCTGTCACATAGTTACCATTTCTTTTTTATGGTGAGAACATTAATATCTACTGTCTTAGCAACTTGCAAGTATATGATACAGTATCATTAGCTATAATCATCATGCTGTACATTAGATCCCCAAATTTGTCAATCTTACAACTAGAAGTTTGTACCCTTCAACAACATCTCCCCATTCCCCTCCTGCCCCCAGCCCCTGGCAACTACCAGAGTCCAGTATTTTGATATTTATGATGTTAGTAGTTACGATCTGGAGCTATATTGTCCAAATGGTAGCTCTTAGCCATGGGTGGCTATGTAAATTCAAAGTAAGATTGATTAAAATGAAGTAAAATTATACCTAGTCCTCAAATCTTAGCTTCTAATATCAATCTCTGATGAAAAGAACCAGGGCCCCTCGCAGAAATGGCTGATTCTAGGGCTGGGGCAGTAAACACACAAGAAGAGAATGGAGCACCTTGTAGTGCCAACAAACAAATAAACAAACACACACAAGGATGTGGCACGAGTCAAAGGGACACAGAGCCAACCTGAAAGTCCTCCTGATGGCCAAAGAACAAAATAAATAACATTGTGTAGGATTATCACTCAAAGTATAAAATAAATGTCTCTGAGTCTATACTGATATAAGTGGTTGTATAAATAAATGCAGGAGAAGTGACAAACCTCATGTGCAAAAGTCTTCCAAATAATTTATGTCAATACACTTCCCCTCTGGAAGATGGAAATTATCCCCTCCCCCTTTGATTGTGGACTGTGCATAGGAGACTTCTTTTCAAAGAGGACAGGATGGGAAAGAAGAAGAAAGATTAAGCTTTACAGTGGAGAAGCCTAGAAAACACTAGCTCAGCTAGGAGATTAAGATTAACACCCACAGTGATAAATCATGTAGATACGCTGTACCCGTGATACTTACAATGAGAAGGGCACTTTACCTCTGTGTCTTTCTCCCAGAAGCATATTACCTCAGTCTAATCATGAGAAAAAAATCAGACAAGTCCCAGTTGAGGGACATTCTGCAAAATACCTGACTCCTTAAATGTTGATGATGCCAGGTCATCAAAAATAAGCCAAGTCTGGGAAACTGTCACAGCCAAGAGGGGACTAAAGAGATATGACAATTAAATGTACTGTGGTGTCCTGGATGGGACCCTTGAATAGGAAAGGATATTAGGTAAAAACTAAGGAAATCTGAATAAAGTACATGTGCTAATTAAAATAGCTAGAAAGCTGGAGATAAAGGCAGGAGGGGCCTTTTATGCTGCCAATAAAGAAGGGGCTTGGACTTTGTCCTTTAAGAGAGACAAGCCATTGAAGAGTGACAGATTAGGTAACTGGCACTGGTGATGATGGGAGGCCAGCTGGGGAAAAGGCTGCCAGAGAGAAGTCTTTTGTTCTGGTCTGAGCTGGTAGCAGAGAGAATAGAGAGGAAGGTCTAGTTTTAGGAAGTATTTAAAAAGTAAATAAAAGAAGCCTTTAATGAACAACAAAAGGCAAATCAAACCTGTCTCAGAGTCACTGAATTAAAATAGAACCGCTTAAGTGCCTGGCACACAGTAGGCAAGCATTAAGTTATAGCTATGTCTTCTCAAAAGGATTCCATTCTGTAAATAGTACCTTAGCCCCTAGCTTTGTCAATCTACTGTTCTAGGTGCCCAGGATACAAAGGTGAGCAATGACATGGTCCTTACCATCAAGAATATTATTATTAGAGGTCTGGCTAGAAGGCACAATGAGTCTGTTCTGTGGTTATCTTTATTCTCCTCAGCCCTTTAGCTGCCAAGACACACAAATGCGCACACCCTCCACCTCCCCACACACACCCTTAGTAACATGTATTAGGCATTTTAACACTCCTCATTTCTCCCAATTTTTAAGCTGTCCTGTAGGAAATGTGCTCTGGCCACATTGATATATTAAACTTGGCAATCCTACTTGGGCCATGTCATATTCTTCACAGCATAAGGAGGGCTGCTGCTGGCCTGCCTAACCCATGCAAACAATGAGAGGCCAGCTATGTGGAGGGGTACATGGTTATTTTAATAGTATGTTTAGAGAGTTTTGCCTGTCTTTCTTTCTTTGCAATAAATTTTGGCAGAGAAAGTTTATCACTTGCATCTTTGTGGCCAACCCATTTTTTTTCTCATTAGCTTCATCCACTCCACTCATTTCCATAACTTTTAACTTAGATCTTAGAATCCTGTGAGTTTTGTAGCAATTTATTAGTATTAAGCAGGGTTCTTTCTCTCCTTTTCTTCTCTATTACCCAGTTGCTTATGATGCCTTAACTTTGTTGCTAATTGAGCACCATACTTTATAGTTGTAAGTAATCACAACTTTTAAAAATGGAATGTTCCCATGTTTCAGCAAGATGACATTAACTGCAGACCATTACTGGGTTCCCAAGTCTTGTTTGCACATGTTCCTGGTAAGTGTCCAACCACAGCAGCTGCCTGACATTTTCACGAATCTCTCTTGAAGTACAGTATTCTGGTACTACTCTGCTTGCACATTTGCTAAGTTAATTAATTAGGAGAGTTTTCTTTTCTTTTTTCTCTTCTGACATAGTTTACCTTCCTTTACAGAAATCTCATGTATGGTGTGGTGAAGCTCATGAAGATTGTGGGGCAGCTCTCGGATAAATTTTACTACACAGATTGTCTCTTTTTTGGAGCAATTATCTCTGCCACTGACCCAGGTATTTGCATACTTGGCTTTATCAATATGATATCCCATTATTTAAATCTTAAGCAGTTCAGAGCAATCATTAAATTCTGTTGTAGTTGGAAGGCTGTAGTATTAATACGGTAAGGTAGAGAAAGAGTCCAGTAGTAGTCAAACAGACTTAGATGGCTTTTTAAAGAAAGGCGTCTATTTCCCTTTATTATTTATTTATTTATTTTTTGTGGTAGAAAATGCATAACAAAATTTACCCTGTTAATCATTTCCCAGTGCACAGTTCTGTAGTGCTAAATATATTCACATTGTTGTGCGAGCAATCTCCAGAACCTTTGATTTCACAAAACTGAAACTCCATATCCATTAAACAACCTACCACTCCCCCATCACCCCAGCCCCTGGCAAACCACCGTTCTACTTTCTGTCTGTATGAGTTTGCCTACTGTAGATACGTCATATAAGTGGAATCATACAGTCTTTGTCTTTTTGTGATTGGCTTATTTCACTTAGCATAATGTCCTCAAGGTTTATCCATGTTATAGCTGTTAGGCTGGAGGAAGGAAAAACAAGGACATGCAAACAGAACAGAGAGATACCATGAAAGGAGACCAGACCAGACCCCAAGGTCTGTGCCTTGTATGGAAAGGGGACAGCTCTTCCTGAATTCCATCCTTCTGATGTGCCAACTAAGACCCGGATGTCAGCCTCCTCCCTCTTGAAAGGAAAAAAAGTTTCTAGTTGTCTATTATGTCACCTTTAGCCAGTCATACCTATTCATGCCCCCTAGGATAGCTTGCCCACTCCTCCCTCGCCTAACCCCTTATAAGCCCCCACCTCCCTGACAGGTTGTAACTTCCCCGGCCTGTAATACCCAGACCGGGGAACATCACCTGGGAATTGTGCTCAAATAAACTGCATGGCCCTTTGTTGCCTCTTGTCGCCTGCTTATTTCGACTAGAATTTATCTTACATTTGGTGCCAAAATCCCGGGAAGGAGCGTGAGTGCGGGGCACCGACTGGCCACCGGCAGCCCTGCCCCCTCCTTCCCTGACCCGGGACCTCAGCCTGCTCTCGCTGCATGGACTATTTTACGGTGAGTCCCTCAGTTTCCCCCGGTCTGTTTCCCTCCCTAACTCTGTTTCACCTGGTCCATTAGAAATCATAGCTATGTCCAAGTTGGGGCATCCGGCCCCTTGGGCATCTGGCCCACCCTCTGCGGGCATCTGGCCTGCCCCTGGCCCTGCGGTGCGGGAGACGTCCCTACCCCAGGCCCCAGGACGTCTGCAGGCATCCGGGATACCCGCCCCTGGCCCTGCAGTGTGGGAGACATCCCTCACCCAGGCTCCCAGGATGTTTCCCCTGATTTGGCACACTTGGGATGCTGGGCGCTCCTCTCAGCGGGATTAGTTGGGAAGTGGCACAGACATAGGGAACCAGCCCTCAAAAGTGGAGGCTCAGACCCCGTTGCAGTGTCTCATTTCTAATTTGGCTACTCTATATTTGTCCTGGAAGTTCGCAAACGGAAGCTAGTCTTTCTTTGCTCTGAGGCTGGGCCTCAGTATCTCTTGGACAACCAATCTCTCTGGCCCCCTGAGTGAACTTTTAATTTTAGCCTCCTCACTGACTTGATTAATTATTGCCACCAGAATGGAGAGTGGAGTGAAATCCCATATGTGCAGGCTTTTTAGACTTTGAGTTCCTACCCAGACCTTTATGTTAAGTGTTCAATGACTCAGGTTCTCCTAGCCCGATCTCCAGTTAAAGATTGTCAGCCTCTTACTTTGTCCAGTCCTTCTTCCTTTTCAGATCCACCAGAGGACCTTGGTCTCCCACCTCTCTCAGCTCGCTACCCCCACCCATCTCCACCACCCTCTTTAAGTCCTTTGTCCTCCCCCGTGTTGCTGTCATCTTAAAGTCCTACATTCTCAACCATGCTGTCATCCTGCTCCTCTCCTCTTCCCGTGGCTGCACCACCCCCTCCCCCTCTTCTTCCGCCTTCACCGCCCTCTTCCCCCACCAGAATATGCTCCTCCCTCCCTCTGGTTCCAGAAGCCACGGACAAAAAGCTAAAAAGAAAGAAAGCAATTAAATATCAGTAACTCAAATATTTATATCAGTTTGTCTGTGTATATGTTTTTATATGAAAAGTGTTGCTAACTGTAGTCATTATGTCTCAATTTGTATGTTTGTGTGTCTAACTGTGTAAATGAAAAATATTTTCCTACCTCTGGATGGTATTAATAAAAATTGATTTAAAAACCAAGCGCTTGTGAAAACTAGGCATTCTAAAACTTCCAGAAAATCTGATAAAAAATGTTAAGCATTAATGCTAATTTGGGTTTGGCTGAGGCGGGCATGTCCTTGTGGTTATCAGCTGCCTAAGTTTACCTAAGGTTATTTAAGTTGATGTTATCTGCTAAATGTTTTAAGAATAAAATGCTTAAAGGCTTGGCTTTGTCTAATATTCAGTAAAGGTCTTGTAAGTAATCTAGCATAGTTGTTATGAATGAGTGAACTAAATAAGTGTGGCAAGTGAACACCTTTTTACTTGTGTGTTACAGTGTGTATACCTACCTACAGCCTGAGAATCTTTGTGGTAACCTAAAACCTTAAAGTTTTTCTAAGTTAAGAAGATATACTTTGTGTTTAATGAGAGATTGTGCTGTAAAGCTCACAGTTACAGAAATTATAAAATGTTCATAAATTTGTCAATCTAAGGAATGCTAGTGTAACAGTTTACAATAGCCTGCTTCTCAGTCTTCCCTAAAAATTAAGGTATCTAATAGTTTTCAGTTCTAATTAAAACTACTTAAAGTAATAAGGAAAACATTTCTGCATCCTAAAGAATGTGTCTTTTGATAAGAGAAAGTAACTTCGTTCTAAAGTACAGCTGTTTTTACAGAGAGAACTCTAAATGAAAAAAGAAGGGTATAGAAAGTTTGTAGAAGAATTTAATATAGTCATGCTATATAAAATTAAAGCAAATGAGTCCTGGTATCAAGTACACAGCAAAATTAAAATTTTGTTTTCAGTTAAAAAGGACACAGTTTTCTTAACTGTTAGTCTTCTCTTAATATTGAAAGATTGCAATAAGTTCTCTAATTGTTTAATCAAAGCAGTTTCTCATGCTTAAAGTCTCAGTAAGTTGTCAAGAGTATTTAAGAAAATGAGATCTTACTATTAAAAAGACTAAAAGCTAAACTTTGCTAACAACTGTGTAACCTTTCTTTGCCTTTGAAGTACTTCGTTGTCATTCTAGTTAAATAGATAAGTATTGCTTCATAGCAACCTATAATCCTATTTAAGCAAGTGCCAAAGAAACTTTCTTTTGACAACTTCCCAAAATCAAATTCAAAAAGGTACATTTACCTCTAGGTAACTCTGATATTTTCCAAAAGGCCCCTAGAACATGTCAGAGGAACTTTTTCTCATTGGAGAAAATATATGGCTAATTTGGTTTATTTATCTGATATATATTTACCTAGAAAGCATTGTCAAAAAGAATGATGCTAAACTTTGTTACTGAATGTTTTGTGTTACCGAAATATCCAAATTTCCTTATGACAACTGTCTTACAGTAAGCTCTCATCAGATCTTTAACCATTGTCATTTGTAAGTCTTTTGTCATCTATACTCACTGTTTATTACTCCTAAACTAGTAAGAAACTAGATTTCAGCAGAATAGGTATTAGTTACATAGGAGTAAGTAAACTAAAAAAGATGATTTTGTGGCTTTTTGTTTCAGATGTTGTTGATAAAGTGTTTTAAGCTTTTTCTCTTAATCTGACAACAGTTTAGTAAATGACTGCCTTTATAAGCAGAATTGAAACTTTATCTTTCTCTCTACCTGATCCCTCCAGAATTTAAAAACTCTCAGTGACTATTTTTATATTTCATGGCAGTGTGTTTATTTGCACAAGTTCAATATGAATCTGCTTTCCTTGTAAGAGGACCAATTAAAAACACTAGTTATATTACCAAGGCTTTGACTGGAATGTCATACCTAAGAAACACGTGTGTAAACTCAGATATGAACAGACAGCTTTAAGGAACTAAGATTGACTGTATAAAGCCAACAAAGCCCCTTAGAAAAACTGGCCTGGGACCTTGCTTACAGAGTTCCCAGCAGCCTTACCAGGTGAGTATGGAAGGTCACTTCCTGGCAAGTGCAGGAACCTCAGGAATGTCTTGAGAAGCTCAAAAAGAGAAGAATTCACCCAAATGTACAGGTACTGCAGGCACAAGCTGATGGCAAGTCTGGCTTGGCTTTCTGGCCTCAAGAAGCCTTTAAAAGTTCAATCTGAAATTCCTTATAAAAAGTTTCAGCAAAGCATATTTTAAAAAGCCTACGTAATCAATTGCTTTTCTTGCTGCACTTATGCAAATAATCAAGCCAATTGTTAATTATTTTCTTAATCTGGCTACTTCTAATAAAAATGAAAGTGATTTTAGAGAAAAGTGTTATTTCAATAATGCAGTCTTATCTATACTAAGTCCCAATACTAGTCATTGAGATGTAAACTCGATCCAGAATTCCAGTCCCCAATAATGGCCTGGCTAATGCCCCTGCTGGGCCCCTTAATAACAGTTCATGGTTTACTCTTAGTTGCCTCTTGTGTCCTCAGGTTCCTCCAACAGCGGCTAACCCAGATGACCTGGGTCGCCACCAACCAGATGTTACTTCACCATTAACACACCTCTTCCCACCGAACCCCCTCCTTCAGCCTAATACCAGCCTCAAACCCTCACCACGCCCCTTGTCAGCCGGAAGTAGCCAGATCGAGTCATCGCCCATTATGACCAAAAGGCTGGAATGTTAGGCTGCGGGAGGGAAAAACAAGGACATACAAACAGAACAGAGAGATACCATAAAAGGAGAACAGACCAGACCCCAAGGTCTGTGCCTTATATGGAAAGGGGACAGCTCTTCCTGTATTCCATCCTTCTGATGTGCCAGCTAAGACCTGGATGTCAGCCTCCTCTCTCTTGAAAGGAAAAAAAGTTTCTAGTTGTCTATTA